TCTCTCTACACACACACATACAAGTTGATAACGTGGAAGAAGGCAAAAAGATAAAGACGATTAGTTAGAAAATACTAGTTGGATATGCAGGAAGCAACATTTTCCTAAATAACATTGATCAAATGGCATTAGAAGTAGGCAAGGTATGTCATCAGAAGATTAAAGAATAGTTAGGAGGTTGGGGAGATATTTTTTGATAAGCAATATTATGATCATAAAGTAGGCAAGATAGAGTATCTATATATAAACGTCATTTGTGAAATAAAATATTCATAATTTATTGACAAAAATGTTGCTTTTTATCTTACAACGATGACATATATATATATATATATATATATATATATATATATATTTGACATTTCCGATTTAAGTTATTAATTTCTAATTGTGCAACTGAATCCTTTTGCTCCCCCACCAATATAAATCTTACATCGGTCTTGAAATCATAAGGTTAAATCGAGTTTTAAACAAAGAGCTTTAATTGAATAGTAAACACTGCATTTATATCAAACGGTATGTAATAAGGTTTAAATCAAGAAATAAATTATACTAATTTATATAAATAAATTACGAAGTTTATGACAGGCTTAAGAAAAATATTAAAGTGGATGAAAAAAAGAAGAAGCATTAAACATAAGAAAGAACATGTAAAGAAAACAGGAAATAAAGCTATGGGAGAAGATTAATAAATAAATCCTGAAAATGAAGATAAAATATAGAGCTTAAAGAGTAAACTTACAAAAAATAAATTATAGGAATTGAAAAGTAAATTGCAAAGCTTGAGAAAACAACTTGTTAATTCAGAGCTTGCCATTAAATTACTATGAGCAACTTGCTCTACGAGAAAGGAATAAATTAAATTTGACTTAGAAATAGTAATTTACATGTTGAATCCATTTTGAGGACTAAATTAGGAAAGCTTTATGCTAGTCCTTAATTAGTTATAAAAATCCCAACTTTACGCGATTGGTTTACTAGCTCTAGAGTAAAAAGGTCGAAGCTCAGGTATGAGAGGGGTGACTGGTTTACTAGGTAACTATGATTAGAACACAATTTATTTTATTTATACGACCTGATTTTCTCAGTTATATTTGAATTGGTTTGGCTCGATCCGATTATTTTTGTTTCAGTTTTATAATACTGAAATCAAACTAAATGGAATATTTTTTTTTTAATTTTTTAATTGGTTTTTTTTTATGATTTAGACTTTTTGGTTTTTTCAATTTAATTAGGTTTTTGTTTTTTTCTCACCCCCACGTCATAGTCCATACAACTTCTAGTTCAGACATGCACTTCCTAACCTTTTGTTTTTTTTCTTTTTTCTTGTATATTTTTTCCTTTACATACATATACCAGCTTAAGCTTCAAATAGTTTCCTATTTTATAGGGACTTCTTTTTTTCTTACAATCAGTCAAGCCTATTAACCCAGCCATGGAAAAACTAATTTCTATGTGAAGTTTTTGCATGACTCCATCGTATGTCATGTCAGTTGTTTTTAAATTATTTTTCCAAATCAATTGGCAATGTGTATATCTCAAGACTAGTGATAAAATTGGTAAGAGGTGAAAAAACAGAATGAATAATTAGTGTAAAATGTCTTTCTAGGGTGTAGTTTGATTGCTAAGCCATTAATTAAGTTGGCCAATTAAGTTTTGATACTTGGTGTAAGATTTTATGTTGGTCAGTGATGAATTAGTTGCTGATCTTATTAATAATACTAGTTACTAACCGGTTGTATATATTTTAGGATGTTAGGTTCTGTAATAAATTCACGTTATTAGAAACAAAACATGAGAGTGGAAGGTCTAAAACAAACAATATATAATATATTGGGTTGGATTATTATATTTGATATCAAAACTTATCTTATTGGCTGTTCGACGATACCAATAGGATTGTCATATTCTTTAAGGGAATAAATTATAAAATCTTATATCAACAGAAGAAGAGTTAATTTCTAATCTTATTAATAGTGCTATTCATTATCTGTTGTATGTATTTTGGAATGTCAAGTTTTAGTTATAGATTTACGTTAGTAGGAATAAAATTATAAGGATAAAAAACTTAAAATATATAATATATAGTAAGTTGAGCGGTACTATTATAATTAAAAATTGAAGGTATTTGTGTTTTATGTTGATTAGTGCATGGTAAGGATGCTTATTTTTTTACTTGATAAAAACTGGCGGGGGAGATGTAAAGCAAATCAAATACTACATATGCCGGTTTATGTCGTTTGAAGATTAAAGAATAGTGAGGAGGTGGGGGAGATTTTTTAGGATAAGCAATTATGATAATAGAGTACGCAAGATAGAGCATCTAAAATATCATCAAAAGCGTCATTTGTGAAATTAAATATTCGTACTTGACTTATAATTTATTGACAAAAATTGTTGCCTTTTATCTTACTACAATGACACCAAAATATTTTTAAAAACTACATAGTAATATAGGCAGATTAACAAACCTAATTAAGTATTCACATTGATCAAGACCATGTGAAAACCTTACGCGAACAAGCATCATATATTGTTGGTATTTGCTTTATATATATATATTGCCCAGGTAGGCATATGCAAAAGTTCAATATTTATGCATACAGATGTATGTTGGTATTAAAATTATATTGAATTTCATGATTCATCATGAGTATTTTAATATATATATATATATATATATAGAATATTAATATATTTATTAAAAATTTCAATTAAAAGAAAATAAAAAATTATTCTTAATGAATTTTGCATACAAAAGTTTCAAACCTAAAATAGTTTTATGGATTAGATTATGAGCTTTTAAGCTTATGAATTTGTACTTGAATTTAATTAATTAAAAATAATTTTTATTATTCATAAGTCCATGATTGGTAAGTAATTTTTTTTAATCTTTAAAATATTTTAGTATATGAATCAACATATTAATTATGCGATGATAATAAATAATATTATAAGTAATTTATAAAGTATGAAGATTTATGAATATTTTGGATATTAATGTACTATAAACTCTCATAAATTCTTTCATTCATGAATTATGGAGATTAATAAATTATGAGTATTAATATATTTGTTTCCAAATCCTATAAATAGATGTTTTAAATGGGTGGAAAATAAATCCTAGAATATTATTGAGTTTTTTTGTTCTTCTTTTTTATTGGTTTTTCTAAAAATTGATTTTTTGTTCTTCTTTTTTATTGGTTTTTCTTAAAATTGATCCCTTTTTTTTTCAATTCAGAGGTTAGGTTTCTATAGAAAGAAATTGAATAATATTCAAAACAGAACTATATTCTACAGAGTCCAACTTCTGAAAGAATCTACAAGGCGCCGTATGCATTCAAAACCATTAAAGGCATCCCCTGTAACTTGTTTGGGAAAAAACCTTAAAATATGAAATGCTTCCATTTTAGGATATGATAGGATAAGCTAGGCGGGGCGATAAAATCTGTCCAGCTTGGCTTTTCGTTATCTACTTCCCAGATTCAACAGCTTGATTAAATTATATTAAAAATAAAATTTAAAAAATATTATTTTAAATAAAAAATATTTTAAAAAACAAACAAATACATAACAATCCGTGCTTATGGCGGTGATTATGGCAAAAACCATTGGCAAGGCGCCGCGTTTACGTGTCTTTATTTTATTTAGATAATGATTGTAATAATTTTGCGAAAAATCCGATAAAAGCGATTTTGAAATAATTAATGTAAAGAAAAAAGAAAGAAAGAAGGAACCATTTAATGGAGGTAGCCAGCAAGATGGTCCCACTATTTGGAAGAAACTTTACATCAAACGTCTCAGATGGCGCCGCGTTTCACCATCACGGATCTTATCAATTCATTAAACAAGTGGATCTGTGGCGCAATGGTAGCGCGTCTGACTCCAGATCAGAAGGTTGCGTGTTCGATTCATCGTTTAACCATTTAGGTGGTGGTGGTCATAAGGATTTGGAATCAAGAGATTTATTTTTTCTGTGATCTCAAGTTTGAGTGCTTGGTTGCTCATATAATGACCACTGGAGACTTACATGGTCGTTAACTTTAGGACCTATAGAATTAGTCGTGATACACACAAGTTGGTCCGGATACCCACATTAATCTAAAAATTTATTAGGAGGCTCACTTTACATCAAACGTCTCAGATGGCGCCACGTTTCACCATCACGGATCTTATCAATTTATTAGGAGGCCCCACACCAGCGACTTAGACAAGGATTTAGGATAGAATTAAGTACTTCAATTAACATTCATTTTTCGCCTGCTTTTACAAGATTTTAAATTTGAGACTTTTTTGTTCTTTTTTTTTTAATTTTTAAAAAAGCATATTTACTTAGATTTCTCTATTCTAATTCCATATTTATTGAGTTTGTGATGGAGAAAATAAATATTTTTCTATTGATTTTGGGATGAGTCTGATGATTCCAATTAAAAACAGTTTTTTTTATTTCTAGTATAATTAATACATGGTGCAAAAACTACTATTTAGCCCATAATTCAACATAGATGATGAAAAGTTAAATTCAACAAATAGTTTATTTTAAATTATTTATATATTCATTTCCATTTCCATTTATTTACATAATAGAAAAGATGTTTTATATCCATTTTATATTCATTTTAATAAAATCATGTTTTGTCGAGTATTTATTAACATAAACAGTGATAAAAACTTTATTAGATTTAAATAATGGAAAGAAAAAAGAAAACGGCATTTCGAAGCCTCAACTTAAGACCTCAATCATGGTCCATTCTTTATGCCAGATTTATATATATATATATTCACGCTCTTATAAAAACATGGATAGCTAACTGACGTGGATCCTTGCTGTCTGGTCTTGATTTGCATGACCAAATTATAAGCTGCCAATTTTATCATCAAAACAACCCCACATGTGCCCGGCGGCTTGTAGGTCCACGTTGGCCTATTGGGTCCCACATCAGTTCTTATCTGGGTATATAAAGCCAGGTTTTTCATGCTTCCATTGCAATTCACACATTTCACCCTTTTCTTCTAGCATGAAGTTCAAGAGTAAAATTGAACAAATACGATGATGTGTAGTGCAAGGATTAGAATCCCGTTTGATCAACAAAATTTGATGTCTAACGTCAGCCAGTTTGAGTTACTTGATCAACCGGCGCCGAGTTTATCTGAAATGGTTTTCGGGTTTCTTGAAGACGGTGAGTCTTGGTCGGAAAGCGGGAGTAGTGAAGGGTATCATGAAAATAAGATAATGGATTTGGAGGAGGAAGAGGAAGAGAATAATGGCAATGTGGAAGAGAACAGGAGTTTCTGGGAGAACCAACACCAGCTTCTACATGTAAGTATCACAATTCTTTATACAATTATTTAATTATATGCTTTTCTTGTGGAAATAATATATATGGGCCCAGAGATTGAATGTGTACAACCCGATCTAATACTTGCTCCGTGCTGTGGTGTTCAGGCAACGCTGTGCAGGACTACTTCCTTGGAATCTAGCATTAGAAGTATCACTAAAGATGCATTGAAGGAAAGACAAATGGCTGGAAATTGTAGTTGCGGTAGACCAATGGCTTCCGGCTGTCGGAGTTGCTTGATGGCAGAAGTCTCTAGCCGTCTACGAAATGCCGGTCACAATAGTGCCATTTGCAAGACTAAATGGAGAAGCTCGCCTGATATCCCAGCAGGTTAGTGGTTAAATTAAGATAAATATTCAAGAGTGTTGTTTCTAGTCGTAAATAATTGCAACATTTTTAAAACTAGCTCTTGATGTATTTTTTTTTTTCCTATAAAACGCAGGAGAGCATACTTTTATGGATGTGATAGACAACACAGTTTCAAAAAGAGGGGAGGTGAGAGTTATAATCGAATTAAATTTTCGGGCAGAGTTTGAGATGGCGAAAGCAAGCGAAGAATACAATCAACTTGTCCACAGATTACCAGAAGTGTTTGTTGGGAAAGTTGAAAGATTAAACTCTGTGATTAAGACCTTATGCTTGGCTGCAAAGAAGTGCATGAAAGAAAAGAAAATGCACTTAGGGCCATGGAGAAAGCAAAGGTACATGCATGCAAAATGGCTTGCGACGGCATGTGAAAGGGCAACGTCTCTGCCTCCCTTGTCGATGGGACATTCCAGCCGATTGCTGAGGCCGAAGGCATCGATGCTAACGGTGGATTTGAAGGAGATGCTTCCTAACGTACATTGCACTGCAGCTACGGCTGTGTGGTAAAAGCATAAATTTTGTTGTAGCTCTCTTGCTTGCTACCCCGACAGAGTTAGGAATATATGCAAGTTCGTGGGGAGAACATACAGAGAAATCATAAAAATAAGGGATATTTTGTGATCTTTGATCGACCAAGAAATTATTAATCACTTCAAAGAATTTCAATCATTAATTTTCACCTGAAACATCTCGTTTTCAAGTCCCTATAAATTAATTAAGGATGCCTCCAATAATTTGAAAGGAACTATATATTATCTGTTTTTTAAGGGGAAAAAAAACATTAATCTTTCAAACATTCTGAATTTTCCGCATTTCGTTTGACTTTCGATTTGAAACGAAAAGATCATTTCTTTGTGGCCCCTTCTCTTTGGAACTGCTTAAATCCCTCGCTGCTGCCTTCGATTTGTGGCCCCTTCTCTTTGGAACTGCTTCAATCACTTACTGCGGCCTTCAAAGGGATTCCATAAAATTGTCTTCGAAGACATCAAAATTTTCAAATGGAAACAAGAATTTGTTAAATTATGATATCTAAATTTATCAAATCATGGGGATAGATAAAAAGTTCACCAGATCGAATGCATGTTTAATTGAGCTGCATAATCAAGTTCGAATCACTGCCTCGATACACTTGGGATTATTATGTGTATTGACCTGCAACAATCCCTCAATCAGACATTTATAAATCACTGCTAAACAAAAAGAAAAAGAAATCACGTGTAGTTCAAAAGTAGCATAGTTGATTTATTAGTAAATGTCATATGACATGATGAACTGACTTTTTATTTTTATTTTTATTTTTATTTTTTAGACGGTGTAAATAATAAGACTGGAAAAATCTTTGAGATAAAAATTAAAGATGTTTTTCATGGGCTGAAAAATTAGATGTAAAATATTTGACGGGTATGGCAACATCTATAAGAAAAGTACTTTGATTCCCTCTAGATATGAGCTTTAAAAAAGAATTGTTTATACTGATTTCTTAAGATAAATATCTTAAAAAATATCTAAATTTTAATTTATTTTATTTAAATATTTTATAAAATAATATATTTAATATAAATATCTTATAAATATCCTAAATATTTATATAGATATTTATAAAGACATATATATTATCTAAAATACCATATAGGCTTAATTTCAGCTTAATCATATCGTTAATTGTTGAGCCTACCAACTTTGGAAGGTAGAAGTGTTAAAATGGCAACTTGCTGCTTCAACGCCTAATAAGGCACAAAAAATAAAATGTGTGATGTTATATCAACTATTCTTAAAAGGTATTCTATGGTTTAAAATAATTACCAAGAGCATGTTATGAAGATTTCAACTAGCTAGAAGTAAATATAGTTATACTCAAAGGAACATAGATTATACATTATTTTTTAAGAATCATAATGATAAAATAATTGTATTTATCCTTTACATAAATGACATGATTGTTATTAATAATAATATTGATGAGATAACAAAAATGAACTCACCAACATCTAAATTTGATATGAAAGAACTTGAAAGTTTAAAATAATTTTTAGTTATTGAAGTTATTAAGTATAAGAAAAGAGTAAATATATTGGACTTGGATGTTAACCTATTACACACCCATATAGCAAAATCATAGAATTGAGGAACTTTCTGATCAATTTCATGCTAACAAAGAAAGATTTCAACGATTAATATATTGGTTGGTTAACTTATCACATGCTCAATCAAATATTGCATATGTTTTTTGTGTGGTAAGTTGTTTATGCATAGTCTGAGTGAATGATGTTCATATTAATGTTGTTGCTAGAATTCTACAATATTTGAAGTTGGTACATGGGAAAGTTCTTATGTTTTCTGAGCATAACCATGCAGCTATTATTGAATATTGTGATGTAGATTAGGGTACGAAAAGAGAAAGATAATGTTTAATGATGGGACAATTCTCTTTTATTGGAGGTAATTTAGCAGCTTGAAAAAAAAATTAAAAAAAACAAAAGATTGTTTTTTTATCTAGAATAGAAGATGAATACAAAGCAATAGTAAAAGGAATTCAAGAACAATTATGGTTAAAAAGGATAAAGTGGGAGCTTGGTTTTTTTTTTCTAAAGCAGCTATTGAAATGTATTATGATAATCAGTTAATTTTCAAGATTAAGAAAAAATTCGATAAAATATGACCAAACTAAACATTTAGAAATTGAATGCAATTTCATATATCACAAGCTTGGAGCTAAAACAATTAAAATTTAGTATGTGAAGACTAAATTTAGTATGTGAAGACTATATAATAGTTAGCTGATATTATGATTAGGGTTGTTCTTAGTTGAGGTTTTAGTAACTCATTTATTATGCTGAGATATTCACATAAATTTTTTTTTTATTTAGTTTTTTTAAGTATTTAAAAATTTAACGGTAGTTGTTTTTTATTTTAAAATATATTAACAATAATTTTTTAAAAAAAATTATTTTTAATATCAACATATCAAAAAATAATAAGAAAACATTAAAAATATATTAATTTAAAATAAAAAATAAAATAAATTTTTTGTAAACATTTTTAATATTAATTTAAAGTAAAAAATAAAATAAATTTTTTTTAAACATTTTTAAAAATATTTTTGAAATGCAGTGTAGAAATCGGTGTTAAACTAATTATTTCTTATTTGAAATAGTTTGAAACATGTAGGCCATTATTTATACCGTGAGATTTTCCCATTAAAATTTTTAAATCATATAAATTTTGATTGATGCAAAATATCCCCTTCTATTAAAAATCTATTTCCTATAAACCCCATGAAATGACCAATACTTTCTTTGTTTTTCTTTTTGCTGGCCAAAGGAGTGCAGGTTCCACCAATTTACTCGAAGTATTTTGTCAAAATTTCGAGTTACAAGTTTGAAAATTAACCATAACGTGGTGTCAATTAGTCCTTATGCTCTCGCCGTCTTGCCGTCTTGACTCCAAAGAAACTACGATGGGAAATAAGTGCTCTTCTTGGCCAATACTAACATTATTTTGGACATCGGGACTAAAGCATGGTATTTAAAAAAAATTAATTAAAAAAAACACTTATAAAACACAAAATAAAACGTCCTCTGCCAAAACTGTATTAAGAGTGGGTTATGTAAATAAACCACGGGGCATGGTGGGGTGGATTCTGTGAGGAACCCTCGATGTTATATATGGCCTTCTGGCCTACCCAAGACAAATAGGAGAGAGTTTTATACTTTCTCAATTTATAGGCCTGATGCTTTCCGATACCGGCGTGAATCAAGTTGCTCAACCACCAGTGAGAAAGGTGGATGAGAGAACTTTCGGCTATTTGGAAGAAGATCCAAGCTGTAACCTTAAGCCTGATATCTCCATAGAGCCCAATCCTGGCCTCCGTTTTTGCGTGGCTTTCGCTGGCCAACATTTAGGTCAATGTTAGGTAAGGATTAGATCGGGACAAGAACATGTTTGTTAGCAGAAACTCTTTTTTGTTATTTTTAGTCAAACTTATATATATATATAAAAAGTTTGGATAATTAACTCCCAAATAATTTGGTTAACATCCCTTCTTCAAGGTCCAACACTTCAGGCCACTCATGGGTAGCCGGTTAACAAAAAAGGCCTGAATGCCAAGTATTAGGATGGCCGGCCTAGAAGTTACTTTAGGAACCTAGTTGATAATGGGGCCAATTCTTTGAGAATCTGTATGAAAATATGTTAAGAACCAAGTAATGCTATTTTTACAGCTAAGAATCCTATTATATTTTTATCACATAAGCATAAAAGGAGAGATTTTAACTTATTTTTCAAATTATAGAGAAACATATTGTTATAGTAGAAAATAAGGTTTCATTTTATCTGAAATTCCGAAAACAAAAACCAGCGGTTGATGTTTAGAAAGATCATTTATGCTTAATAATCACAGAAGAGTGAGAACGCCGCCCATGGTCGGAGCTTCATCAAACATGCTCAAATTGGATTTTTTTTTTTTCAACAGGTAGGCGGAGGAGGGAGTTCAAATGTGTGGACCGGTACTGCTTTGCCTCCACCGTATCTTTTGGGCTGGCAGTGTTGATCCTTGTAATGGCATTCAACACTGGATTGCGTTTACATGTAAGAAAATAATTGCAGATGGTGCCAACAGAAATGCCAACCAATTTCGTTGGATGGGCTTTCCAAAGAATGCAAATCAAAATTATTAAGGTGCCCCACAACTAGTTGTGTTAATCTATAATGATAGTTTGAAGGGGGCAGAAGTTGTGGGATCTTGTCAACTATTGTGAGACATCGAGTATGTCTGAGAATGTAACGGTAGCTACAGTTTAAAATATTTTTTATTTTAAAATATATATTAAAATAATATTTTTATTATTTTTTTTTAAAACTATTAGAAAATATAAAAAAATAATTTTAAATAAAAAATATGATTTACACCGTTCCAAACATTATTGTTTGCAGCACATATGTAAACATAGCCATTCTTGGTGAAATTCTTGTTGATGGTATGGTATGTTGCCGAGAGGCATTGCACCTTTCGATTTGGACATAAGATGCTTTGATTATGGTCTGGATTCACAGCATGAAAATTTTGATCTCAAGTTAATTCCCATGAGATTGAACTGATGCTAAATATATTATATTGAAATTTTCATAATGGGTTTTCGACCGGCATAAGTTGCAATCACCTTCGACTTTTAAATTGTATTTCATTATAATATAACAATTATGGCTCCATTTTTTCCCATGATTATAGCTTTGTGATTTATGCAATGTATACATATCCATTTTATTGAATTCTATATCCTTGCAATAACCTCAAGAAACATATATATAGATATAAATGAAGTAAATTCAAAATTAAAGACTGAAAATGGGATGCAAACATGATATTATCTTGCACAATTCACTCTGGGATCAATCATACATTTTATCCATGTCGAATCAATGTAAACTCAGGAGTGTTTTTGCTGGTGAAATCTCCGTCATCGGCTATCATTGGGGCCAATGATGCAGACTACTTTAGGAGGTGGGGGGCTGTTTTGGTCTCGTTGGTTCGATTCGACATCGACTCCATCTCACTGCTTTAGGAAATCGATTCTCAGCCACTGGGATTGATTTTCAAAAAGTGAAGAAATGTTGACACCAGATGGAAAATTATGTTTGGACTTGTCGCATAGAAAAAGAAGGATGGAT